TTCATGCTTTCTCTGATTCTGATTGGGCTGGTTGTCCTGACGATCGAAAATCCACGAGTGGTTTTGATGTTTTCTTGGGGAGTAATCTTATATCGTGGGTTTGCAAGAAACAGAGAACTGTTGCCAGGTCATCCACTGAGGCTGAATACAAAGCTCTTGCAGATGTTTGTGCTGAGGTTCTATGGATTATGTCATTATTGCGTGAGATACAGATTCCGGGTATTTCCATTCCAAAATTATGGTGTGATAATCTAGGAGCTACATATATGAGTGCCAATCCAATCTTTCATGCGCGCACCAAGCATGTGGAGATTGATTATCATTTTGTTCGTGATCGAGTAGCTTCGGGCGATATCCAAGTCAACTTCATCTCCACAAAGGATCAACTTGCTGATATCTTCACCAAAGCTCTGCCTGGACCTAGATTTTCTTCCTTAAGGGACAAGCTACAGGTTACTAGTATACACTGTGCTTGAGGGGGGGTATTAGGACTCTATGTATATGAGTCTGTTTAGAACTTCTTATCATTGTCACACTGTGACTCTCTATTCTATATATTCACATCATCTGATCTCATTGTAATCAAGTTCAGAAAATATAATACAATCAGTTATCATCAAAAGACACAAAATTAAAATTTATTTGTGGTTCAAGAAATAATGTAAGTACTATAAATCTATTTGTACATATAGTTCTTTCTACACACTTTGGCACCAACTTGAATGCAATTTTAATTTAGTGACAAACATTAATTACAATATAATTTCACACAATGTTGATCTATCTATTTAATTATATATAGTGACAAAGTCATTGTTACAAATAATTACTCATCACGTACAATTATCATTACTTTATTGATGATGACAATACTCAACCTCAATGTGAGAAGGCTAAAGAATGTACAGTTAGGACAACTCCAAGTTTGAAATCAAAGAAGCCTCCAGTGTTGTCAAGGGTAGGAAATATTGTACCCGTGTTAGATATACAATAGTCTAACTATAATAAACCATAGTATACGAGAAACCTGACCTTGTATGATAGCGGAAGCGTAGCCGTGTTGATCTCCAGCCATAGTTGATGTTCCTGTTGTGTTGCCTTAACGGTAGACCGTTAGCCATGTTTTGCCTCAGACCTGACTCAGAACCCTAGATGGTGTAGTATTGGTATCTACTGAGCAGTCTAAATACCGTAACTGAATGTGCTAACATCCAACATCCTGTATCCCATCAATCCAGGATTATATTAGGCACTAGAGTTTGGTGGACTAACAACTTCTAGTTATTCAGTCCAACCAGACCACTTAATAAGCCTAGTCTACTTGCACCACTTAATTAAGGCCCTAATATATAATATATAATATATATTATTTGGGAAAATCTTACATGCTAGTCAAACATTGAAGTCTATGTTCCTACCCAACTACTGCTGATGCTTCCTGCAAGATTGACTAATTCCAATCACTTTTTATTTTGAAGTTCAATGTGACTGTCTTTGGTGGTATTTTGGAAGCCTAAGCAATTGTTATTTTGTACTTAATAGTCATGGTGTTATGAACACCTGTAGATCAAGTTGTTATTTTGTACTTAACTGTGATGGGCTTATGAACACTTGTATTCCAGTTGCTTGAATGAAAATGTTACCAAGCTCTTTTTTGCAAATACAATGAAAATGAACCATTCTTTCTTGTGCCAAATTATAATACCGCAAATATATGAACAAGAATAAATACAACTGCTACTTAAGGTTCACAACCATTATCCAGCTTGATTAAACACCATTTAGTACATTACATCAATTCCAATTGTAAGACAACATCCTAATCTTATTAGAACCTAAAGCTTTTCCTATATAAACAAAAACAGTTCCAGTTAAAACCAAAAGTATTACAATCAATAATAGCAACCCTATATAAATGTTCTTCATGGCAGGTTCAACACGTCTTGATCGAATTTCTTCAAATTGTCAAGTCAACCATTCAATTTCTTGTTCATTCTTGTTTATCCTCTTGAACCACTCGAAAAAAGAACAATTTTCTCTCTCATGTTATAGTTACATTGTGAATTAATCCAATAAAAACCCCAATTTAAAAAAAAAAAAAAAAAAAAAAAAACATTTTTGCTCACCGTTTCAATGGAGCAGACCAAATACCTACGCCCTGAGTTTTGATTTATCCAGGAAGTACGAAGCTTCATATTTTTTCTACATATACAGACTCGGTCAGATACTCATTCTCCAAAATGCTGACCCCTTGTCGTGAAACTTGATCCATACGAAACCTCCATTGTTGTCGCCCACCTTCACTACTACATTAGGGCTCTCTGATTTGGGGAAAAATGATTGCGGCATTACATTGTTGTGAACTAAGACTATAAGGAAGAAAGTAATGTTGAAAGGAGACATTTGTCCTCCCACTTAACGCCCTTTTGACACTAGTAAGACGACTTTTGGTCGATTTAAAGAAAGAACAAGTGTTTTTTTAGTACTACTGACTCTACTTTCTCAATCTAATTAAAGCACAAAGAATCAATACCACCTCCACTAAGGCTCAAACACATGACCTCCCATATAGGAGAACCACGTCATGTTACTAGACTACAAGATCATTGACCAGGAATGTGATTTATGAACGCACTTACTTATTAATTTGATTTCATTATAGAATGAACGTGATGTATGACTTATCCAAACAGGTGTTCTGATATCCTCTTGTGAAATGGAAGTTTAGGGAGTTTTTCATCCCCAATCACATTCAACATGTATATTTTCATGTCTAGCTTCTTTGATCTAAGCACAGATCTCACTACAGATCATGTATTCTTATTCTCCTCATTTCTCCATTAATTATACCTCTGTTTGCTAACTACAACAAAACTTCTACCAACAAGATCTTTCAAGTATTCTATAGCTACTTCCTCCACATTCAAATGCTTATCAGTCCTCAAAAATCCCTCTAACGCCCACAACCTAACCAAATTCTTCACATGGATCTCATAATCTTCTCCAAAAACTCCAAAATAAAGAAAACAAGCTTTTAAGTGATGCGGTAATTGGTTGTAACTCAAATATAGCATTCTTGAACATGCATCATCAGTGGCGGATCCAGAAATTTTGTCCAGTGGGGGTAAAACATTACATTTTAAAAAACAATGAAACACTTAAGAAATATAGTCATAAATAATTAAATATTATTAGATATAGACGAAAAATAAAACTCATTAAAATTTTATAAAAATACTCATAAGAAAATATGAAGCATAACTAATTTGATAAAATAATTCAAATAAAAAAATACATTATAAATTACACATCTCATTATTAATATAAAAAAAGCTTTATATATATATATATATATATATATATATATATATATATATATATATATATATATATATATATATATTAAAAAAGTTGTTAAAAAGCCAAAATAGAAGGGATTCAAAAGAAAGCATATATTGTTGAACAATAAGGGACTCAAACCCCAAGACCCTTCACAGCATAAAACGCGCGCCTTGCTAACTCGCCTAACTTGTATATTGTTTACTTTTATCTGTTTTCATATATTTATATCTATAACATATATATACATACATATATACATACAAGGACTATATACGGGGTGGGGTGGGGTGAGTGGGGGCAGCTGACCCCATTGCCCCCATTGTAGGTCCGCCCCTGTGCATCATTAGAATTGCCAATTACATATTACTCACATTCTCTGCAAAATTCTTACACTTTTCCAACTCTTCTGTCTTGGAAAGAAGACTATCTACTATCGTAATAGTTAGAGGTAATCCTTTACATTTTTTTACTATGTCTCTACCAAGTTGCGCAAACTCAAAAGGGAATTCATTTTTACCAAGCACATTGCAATAGAGATTCTAACTTTCATTGGCATTTAAGAAAGGTATGTTACGTTAATGATAGAGTTACCTGAACTTGTATATTCAACCACCCCTCTGAGCCGAGAAGTCAATAGTATACTGCTCCCATTGTTATCATCTAGAAAGCATCTTTAATTTGCACACTATCCCAAGCAGTACTGCTCCATTTATCATCCATCACAATTAAATACCTCTGTTCCTTCAAGTGTTTTCACAAACTTTCTTCTAATTGGTGTTGGTTATTTCTATGTACATCACCTGATGCTGCAATGACAATCAATTACGTACATCACCTGATGCTGCAATGACAATCAATTACGCATCGGAGCATTTGTTCCACATTATACTCTTGAGGTACAAGAACCCATGCTTGCTTGTCAAAAATGAGAAATAATTGATGGATCTTTATAAACTTTTCGAGCTAAGGTGGTCTTGCATATTCCTCCCATGCCAACGGTTGATACAACTTGTAACTGCTAAGCAGATTGTTGCCTAAGCTTATCCAATATCTTCTTGAACGTCAAACTTTGAAGCATTTTTGGAAAATTTACTCACAGTAATGTCTCTCCCATTCTAGATCAGGTTGTGAAGATGCTGAGCCAAGGAGTAGTCCTCTTCATCAAATCCAGCCAAGGAGTTAAACGTCGTCAGTGATTCTTTCATTATGTGATGAACCCTTTGTGAGCTAGCTTGTATTTACTTTTAATCTTAATCAACTTCTTCTTGAGGGAATCAGTCCGATTAGTGCTTGATTGAAGATCAATTAACTAGCAAATATTAAGTACAACAGGACAGTAAACTTATACAAATATTAAGAACGCATCAGGAACCTTCATAAAAGAGTCAAATTAGAAGAATGCACTTCATGACCCTCAGAAGATATAAAAACAGTTATAGTAGAAGTTCATCAAACTGAGACAAAGACCAATACACTACTAGTAAAACACGTACTCAATATTCACAATTCAACTAATCATTAACCACCATGACTTCTTATTCACCAACTATGCCAACCTTATAAATACTCCAGGAAAGTTAACAGACTCAGATGCCCATTTATCAAGTGAAAAAAAAAAAAAAAAAAATCTTTGAGGGATATCAAAATAACACGTAGTATTAGTGCAACAAGCTTCACTGTCAAAAACCATGTGGTTTACAATGCTAAGAATTAATACATTTATAATAGCATAAGGCTCATGACCACATAATACAACACGAATTAATTCCCTAGTAAAATCTGTACAACTTCACTTGACTACAACCCAAAAAAAAAAAAACAGATTTCCATCAGCAACTTCTTCTGAGAAACAGAAACCATTGCAGTTTACCAAAATATATAACAGTATGATTTGCAACAGAGTATATGTTCTGCCAATTCAAATACCTGGCTAATCCACATTAAACAAATGCAAAAACCACTATGCAGCCATCCATTCATCACTCTCTTCCTCCTCATCCCATTCTTCCTCTGAGTTGTTTTCACCTTCCGTCTGCAATCGATAAATTAAAGTAAAAATGAAAAAAGGTGAACACACAACAGTTAGATAAGTAAGTAAATATGAGATAGAGAAAAATGAGATAGAAGTTAGAGAAAACAGATCAGATGATTATCCATTGCAACCATCAGTCATGAAGAATTCAAGTACCATGAAGTGCATGTTAAATGGTCACACATATATTAGAGGGATAGAAAGAGACCATAATATTTTCCGAACGAACAAGGAGGGCATTTCCATAGTTATTGTATTGCTCTTCTTGAATCAACTTTGAGGAAGCCAGAACGGAATCCCAACAGCAGTTTAACTGAATCAATGCTAGTGTGGCGATATTGGCAAAACCACTAGGGATATCTCGCAAATACATGCATTCACGTAACTCTAAACATTCTAGCGAAGGGAAATGGTCACCCACAGCATTCCAATGTTCCAAAGATGTACCTTCAATTACCAATCTTTTCAATTGACGGAACCCTTCCTCGGATGGTTCCCACATTCTGTCTTCGCTAGCAATAGCATGTATTAGTTTTAGAACCTCTAGATTCGGCAACATACCAATAAGCTTCATATCACTCCATGCCATATTAGTCGAGAAGAATTTGAGCTTCTTAAGATTTGGTAGAAAACCAGTTGACCACGGGATGCCGCTACATGGAATATGGTTGAGATTATGCCACCCTCTGATGCTTAGCTCCTCAAGCTGCCCCAAGTGCACAAAATTATAAAAACAATCTAGATTCTTTTCATTGTATCCACCAAAAATTCCCAATTTTTTTAAATTTGGAATCCTTGTAAACAAATCCTTTGTACAAAGCTTAGAATCCAACCAAGATATATTCTCTAAGTGTCTATAAACAACTGACGAAGTTTCTAATGAAAGAATTCGTTCAATGCAAAAATTCCTTAATAGTGGCATTTTCCTAATTCCAGATGCCCCAGAGGAACTCAATGTAACATGAGCTCCACGAACAATAAAGCTTTGCATATTCCAATGCTCAAAGAGCTCTAAATAAAAAAAATCCGGAAGCATCTAGTGAATAGCTCAAAGCTAAGTATCTCAAATGAATAAGATTTGCAAGTGCATTTAGTACCCTATATCTATAGGAAAGTAGACCTTCTATGTCTACTACTCTTAGTAGTTTGAAGTTTGGAAATAGACGTTCCACATCTACAAAGTAATCAGAGTAAACAACATAAGGACAATGTAAGGAATGTGATTTGTGAAAGCACTTTGTCAAAGCAAGTAGATGAAAAGCTGATGTATCACTTATCCAACGACAAGAGCTTTTCATCTTGTAAAATGAAAATTTTTCATCTCCAGTGACATCCAATAGACTTTCACGTCGAGCTTCTCTCAAACACAAATCACGCAACAGGTCATGTATTCTTATTGTCTTCATTTTCCCATTGTAGCTCCGTTTGCTAACAAAAACAAGACTTCTATCAACAAGATCTTGCAAGCATTCCATGGCCACTTCCTCCATATTTCGATGCTCCTCTGCCCTCAAAAATCCCTCAGCCGCCCACAACCTAACCAACTTCTTCACATGGATCTCATAGTCCTTAGGAAAAAACTCCAAAATATAGAAAACAAGCTTTCAAGTGGTGTGGTAATTGGTTGTAACTCAAATATAGTATTCTGGAACATGCATCATTAGAATCACCATTTACAAATCTACTCACATTTTCTGCAACATAACTCCACTTTTCCACTGCATCCTGTGTCTTGGAGAGAAGACTAGCTACTACAATAATAGCTAGAGGTAATCCATTACATTTCTTCACTATGTCTCTACCAATTTGCTCAAACACCGAAAGAAATTCCGTTTTACCAAACACATTGCAGTAGAGATTCCAACTTTTATTGGTATCTAAGAAAGGCATGTTAACGGTGGAGGAATTTGCATATTCAGCCACCTCCCTGAGGCGAGAAGTCAATAGTATCCGGCTTCCATTATTATCATCTGGAAAGCATCTTTGCACACTATCCCAAGCAGTAGTGCTCCATATATCATCCATCACTATCAAATATCTCTGATCCTTCAAGTGTTTACGCAGACTTTCTGCTAAGTTGTCATTTCTTTGTTCATGGAAAACATTGCTCTGCTTAGGGAGTTCATCATTTGATGCTGCAATAACACAACCAATAAGGCGTTGGAGCATTTGTTCCACATTATACTCTTGAGATACAGTAATCCATGCTCGTTTGTCAAAATGAGAAGTAATTGATGGATGTTCATAAACTTTCCGAGCTAAAGTGGTTTTGCCTATTCCTCCCATGCCAACAATTGAAACAATTTGAAGCTGCTTAGCTGATTGTTGCCTGAGCTTATCCAATATCAGCATGAACTCCTTTTCATATCCGACCATTCTAATATCAAACTTTGAAGAATTTTTAGAAAATTTACTCACAGTAATATTCTCGCGTTCTAGATCAGGCTGTGATGATGTTGAACCATGGAGTAGTCCTCTTCGTCGCATCCTTTCATCTTGTGATGGACCCTTTGCAAGCTGCTTTTCACTTTTAATCTTAATCAACTTTTTCTTGAGGTAATCAGTCTGTGTTACTGCTTGATTGAAGATTCCCCGAAGCCTGAGGAGGGAAGCCTTTATACGAAGACGCTTCCACCAACCCTTTGCTAGATAAATGGTACTCAACTCCATCTCAATTCTTTCTTCGGCTTTGAACATTACATCTCTGATCTGGGCCTCTAAACCTTTCATCGCCGAATTATCATTAGCGATCTCAGATTTCTCAAGAATTTCTTGGAGGATACCAAGATTTTCATGGAGAGAAATTATTTCTTGTTTGTTTTCAAGAGGCAAGGGTGGTTGGGATTGCAGGAACTGTAGATGTAGAGTTCCCATAAGGGACGTTACAGCAGCATAAGCCATTTTCGTGCCTGCGCTAAGGTGATTACAGAAGTACTAGTACTAGAAGAAAAATCAAAGGGGTGTGATAGAATTTAGATAGAAGTTCGTTTGAATTGTCAACGCTACAGTCTAATGATAAATCAAAGATTTTGTAGTAAGAAAATATTATATATACTCCCAATTTTTATTTCAACACATAAAATTTTAACGTACAAACTTGTATTGGACTTTATATGAAAAAAGTAGCATATCCGTGCTCCACATCAAAGAGTAAAATTTAGGAGTATAATTTGAGCGTCTATATAGTAGAACTCTTTTAGTAAAATGATAAATACAATGGAGTATAACTTTCACAGTGTATAAATTTTATTGAGTAAAAAAAATTAATTAATGAATTAAAATAATGGTTCACTTTATTGTTTAAATTAATTAAAGAATGACACCTTAGTTAAGAGTAGAAAATGAAATATATTCCTTGATTTTTTATTTCTTTTTAAGACTTATTGTGAAAACAATCTAATCATTTAAAAGACGTCGGCTAACCAAGAAAGTTTTAGAGAGAAAAAAATACAAATCTGTGTGAAAATTTGTCAATCGTTATATCATGCACCAGGGCGCACAATGCGCATTGGTCCAAAACAACAATGTTTCTATAAGTTGGTGGGAAGTTGACGCGACGGACACCGTTCAGTCTATCTAATCTCGTTATAATTTTTTTAACACTTGTGTTTATATGTATTATGTATTATGTTAGATTATGTGTATTATATTAAGAGTTTATGTGTATTCTGTTATATGATTTGGTACATACAAAACAGATGATTTTTTTTTAAAAAAATTAACGGCAGACTACAATGCATTGTGCACCCTAGTGCACGATATAATTTGCCAAAATTTGCCAGCCAAATCATACACGTAGAGTAAAAATAAAAAATAAAAAAATAAAAAGTAAAAGAAAAAAATATAAGAAAATTAACTAACAATTCTATGATCCATCAACTCAAAACGTCAAAAAGTAAGGATGTTTTTATGATTTTATCCAATTAAGTCTTAGACTTTCGAGATGATTTGGTTCAAGTTATATAACATAGTAAAGAGAATGTAAAAATAAAAATAAAAAATAAAAAAATAAAAGGAATGTAATATTCCAAAAATTATATCCATGTGTAACTATGTTTAGTTTAGAGTTAATTCCAGCAATAGTCCCCTGAGTATGGTGATTTTCCATAATTGGTCCTGGACTTTTAATTTGGACAATTTAACCACCCGACTATTAAAATCTTTCCAATTGTAGTCCTTCCGTTAAATTGGAGTTAAGTGAAAGTTAATTTGAGGGGTAAAAGCGTCATTTCCCCTGAATTCATCATCATCACCGCACGCTGTTCTGTCACTTCTGTCCAGCAGGCAGCGAGGAGAGGGGAAAGCGGCGACGGCGAGGGAATCCGACGGGTTCTCGACTTTCTTTCCTCTTTCCACTCTCCCGTCTGTCTTCATTCATGTGTTCCTTCACAAGCGCAGAAACAATTTTCAGTGTTGTTATCACATCTCTAGCCACCTAAGAACTGGGAATATGTCTGAAATGTTTGGAGTGCCAAACCACTGTGCGACGCCTGTCAAGGCATCGAAAAACTTTGAAGCTTTATCTGACATAAGATCTACCAAATCGTGAGAGAGAAATAGGTTTCCCAACAAGTTAAATGTTGCGAGGAAAGAAAAGTGTGCTACATGAACCCCACTTCCTCCCTGCATAGAATTCGCTTTGAAGCTGCTTGGCGTCTGACTGGATAGATTCCCCTGCAGAATCGCGTCGGAAGCTGCTTGCATGGGAGTTTGAGTGATTGGAGTGGCGGCTTGTGCTTCCTGATTAGTACAGTGTTGTCGACGCCGGAGAGTGCAGCGGCGTAGGTGCTGTGTCTGTGCTTGATGGATTGAGCTATGGAAGGTGCGAAAGGGAGCAATGATGTGTGGTGTTATTCATTGAAACAGAATGTCCAGAACCTTACTCATACAAAGAGAATACAGCCAATATATACAAGAAGGAAGGAGGGAAAAAGAGCAGTTATAACAAATCAGATATGAACATTTACATTACTTCCCTCTACGTATTTTGCCTTGGTGTTGCTTGGCTCTGTTATTTCTATCCATTGGAGCATATCACCAATGCATTTTCTCCTTACAGGCACTGTTTTATTAATCCTCTTATGCACGAACAATTCCACCGTGCATATCCTCCTTCCAGGTGAGTAGAAAGACCAATCCCGGGATCAGGAAGATGGCAGACCAAACCAAGCACTTCCATTCCCACTCAATCTCTTAAAGGTTTTGAGGTTTTGCAATTTGCAGGTCACTCAAATTCTTGTTGTTCATTTAAAGTAGTGTAGCTACCCTGGTCTCTAGGAACTGTCCATTCTTGTTTCACTTTTAACAGACATCTTGATACAATTGTGGTGTAGCAGCTGATCGGAGCTCCATCACTTCTACAAATCTCGTTGCAGACACTTGGATAGGAAATCACGGCATAATATCGATGACTGAATTAGGAACTGAGGCAACTTGTCGGAGTAACTGATTCGGTAGAGTTTACGGCGTCGCGGTCCTCCCATGTTTACTTTCTGGTGATCATCTCAATGACGGTGCAGCCGTGCGACCAGACGTCGGATTCCGGTCCCTAATACTCCTCGCGGATGACCTCCGATGCCATCCACAGTGAACTCCCATGTGGCGGCACAGCCTTATCCCGCCGTTGGACCAAAATCCGTCAGCTTGGCAAGGTCGACCGGCAGCGAGCGCGCGGTGATGATGATTTCCACGTATACAACACGGGAATGAAAGATGAAATATACCTGAGTAAGGGAAATGACGCTTTTACCCCTCAAATTAACATTCACTTAACTCCAATCTAACGAAAGGACCACAATTGGAAAGATTTTAATAGTCGGGTGGTTAAATTGTCCAAATTAAAAGTCAAGGACTAATTTTGGAAAATCACCATACTCAAGGGACCATTGCTGGAATTAACTCTTTAGTTTATGTTATCTTATTTTTCCAAAGGAATATAGCATTTTTCAAGAAATACAACATACCATCCACGTAAGATTTTGAAGGTAATGTGATTTCCTTACTATTTGTAGGTTATCTAACATTATCATGGATATTAACAAATTTTCCTTTTTTATTTCTAATTATTATAAAATATATATTTTATGTTAGCTTGTTATATGTATTATATTTAATTATTTTTAGAATTATATATTTTATTTTATTTTTTATTACATCATGTTAGCTTATAAAATAAATTTGTTTCTCAAGATCAAGATTTTAGTTAATTATATTTAAATCATGCATGTAAGTATATATGATATCATTATCTTATTTATTTATTTTAATTTAAAATTTTATTAAAATATATAAAAATATGTTAAGAGTATTAAAAGTAAAAAATTTATATATAACATAAAAGATAACCCCTAAACTAAATAGATTTACTATACTAATAAGAGTCCAAGAGAGTTAGACCTATAATAGGTAGAAAAAATGGCGGTCAAATTTTTTAATCAAATGAATGGCTCAGATTGATCAAATTTTAATTTTTCCAAGATTTCCTAATTTATCCTTAATGAATATGATTATCCGTTAACTTTTCCGTTAAATATTATATCGTTAACTTACTCATTGATTTCAATAAGAAAGGTCTTAGGTTCGAACCTCATCCCAATCAAAGTTGGCATAACTCTATTTTACTCTTATTAAATTAAACAATAATTTAGTAGCTACAACAAAAAATAACACATATGCGTGGATACGTTTGAAGCCTGAATCATGAATGAGGAAACGCTCTCTAGCCAACGGTTGGAGGAGGATCGCGATCTGCTTGAGCGAAGCACGAAGAAGGCCAAAACCACCTTCGGTGAGGTGGTAGACACCTCGATGGATCTTACGACGGGATTCTCTGCGGAAGTCGATGCTGTTTTGGAGACACCAATTGAGGACATGGGGGCGCCAGTGGCGCCACTGACCATGCAGGTACCAGGTGAGAGGGAAACGTCGAACCCACTAACAATTCCCGTTGTTTCTCAGGTTCCGGAGGTCGCAAGGCGGACCTACGCCCAAACCATGACAGGCCAGTCGGAGGAGACGCCGGGGGACGTAGATGCGGAGGAAGACGAGGACCAGGAGGAAATGTCGGACGAGGAGGATGATGATCCGCTATGCCCAACAATACGTCTGTCGAAGGCGGAGATTAGACAGATCAGGACGCCATGGAGGTTGGCGATTATCGTCAAAGTTATGGGTAGATCGATCGGGTACACGTACTTACTGCGCCGGCTGACGTCCATGTGGAAACCGAAGGGAAAGATGGAGCTAATCGCGATTGATAACGGGTACTTCATAGTGCGGTTTGGAGCGGTAGAAGACCTGGAACATGCATGCCATGTTTGAGGGTCCATGGATGGTCATGGACCATTATCTGATCGTCAAACCATGGATGCCGGACTTCGATCCGTTCTCAGACGTCACAGAAAAGGTCCTAGTATGGGTAAGAATTCCTTGTCTACCTGCTGAGTACTATAGTCTAATCTTTCTCAGGAAATTGGGGAACAGGGTGGGAAGAACGATCCGAGTGGATCAAGCCACAAGCATGATGTCACGAGGGATGTTCGCCCGAATATGCGTTGAAGTTGATATATCAAAGCCATTGATTTCGAAGTTCAAGTATAAGGGACGTGTGAGATCGGTGGCTTATGAGGGCATCCATTTGGTGTGTTTCAAATATGGTATTTACGGACATACACCTGATGATTGCCCCAAAGCAGTCAGACCTGCGAATGCATGCGATGATGCTCCAAACAGAGAGACGGAATGCAAAGGCTCAGGGGAATCACGTGGAGTTATAATCGGAGCAGAACTGTTTGGCGCATGGATGATTGCGCCAGGGCGAAAAAGCAGAAATGGGGGTCGAAAACATGAGAAATCCAACCGGGGAGTTGAAGAAGGGAGACAGGCGGCGATGCATGGCCAGACCCAATTTGCTCAAGCTACCAGATTTGCGGCCTTGGCAGAAGGGGAGGAAGACCGGGACGCTGAGGGGGGGCCTGTTGGGGCAGAGCAGGAGATGGTGGAGAAGCCGGAAAGCAGCTTAGATCCGCGGCAGAGGTCTCACGTAGAGAGGACGGAGGGGAATGTTATGAGGAGACCGAATGTGGTTGTGGTAGAGAAACAGATCCAGAATGCACCACCTGTAGTGCGTAGACCGCGAGAAAATGCTGAAGCCTCGACCACCAGTTCTCAGCGTGTAAATGGAGGGGGTTCTCGGAGGGCGGCGGAGGCGGACGAGCATGTTGTTGTTAGAGGCGAGCAAGGTGGCTTAATTGTCCACTCTGCAAGAGTGGGGGTCGGGGATGAGGCAACCGACCTCCCTTCTCCGGTCTGGCAACACATAAAGGAACACCATACGGACCCGCCAATATGCTACGACAATGAAGGAGATGCGGTGATGGAGATAGACGGGGACCAAATGCCACAAGAGGGTGATGAGGCCAGTATCGGCCTTTGAGGTTTGGATGGTTTTGTCTTCGCCTTTTGATTATGTAATCCCGTTTGGATTTCTGTTTGTTTTTTTCTTATCCTTTAAGTTATGTTTATGGATTTGTTGACATGGAATTGCCAAGGGGCGAGTGGACGGGCGGTCCACCGTGCCCTAAAATTTTTATTGCAGACTTATAAGCCGAGCATCCTAGGTCTTTTTGAACCGAAAGTTTCCGGGGTTCAGGCCAATAATATCTGTTCGAAGCTCGAATTTTCAGACTGGATTCGCGTGGAAGCTGTGGGCTTCAGCGGGGGTATCTGGGTCCTCTGGAAGGAACCAATACATATCCATATTTTGTTTACTCATCCACAGTTCATTTTGTTATAGGTGACCCAGAGCGGGCAACCACCATGGGTGTTTGCGCCGGTATACGCGAGTCCGGCCCATCATCTGAGGCGCCGGCTTTGGAGAGATTTGTCCCAGTCAAAACGGGGCCCGCAGGGCCCTTGGATGGTGGCTGGGGACTTTAATTCCGTTATCACGAGAGATGAAACAAACAATTATGTCTCCTTTTCTGCCCAAAGAAGCTCGGACTTTGTTAACTGGATCAATGAAGAGGGTTTTGTTGACATGGGCTACTCGGGACCAAAATTAACCTGGGTCAAACATGAAACCACAGATGGGGCAAAGGGGGCCAGACTAGATCGGGCGATGTGTAATCTTGAATGGCGCGGCCGGTACCCAGAAGCTGTGGTGGAACACTTACCTCGTGTTGCCTCGGACCATGCGCCTCTATTAATTCGACTCTATGGGAGGCAGTGTTCTAATAGACTAAATTTCTTTCATTTCCAGGCTGCTTGGATTACACACCAGGACTTGCAACAGGTAGTCGGAAGAATCTGGATCCCCGAAGAAAACTTGGCAGATAATGTACGGCGGGTAGCGGACGGTCTCAGTAGTTGGAACAGGGATGTGTTTGGAAATGTGTACACGCGCAAAAGAAGCTTGCGTAAACTCGAGAGGAACCTGCAAACACAACTAGAAGAAACCCTTTACCAGGAAGAACTTATGTGGTACCAGCGGTCCAGAGAAGAATGGATAAAGTCGGGGGACAGAAACACAAAATTTTACCATGCTGCGGCCACAGTGCGAAAATCACGTATCAAGATTTCGGGGCTGAATGATGACAACGGGATGTGGATGCCAGATGGTAATGAGTTGCGGGATCATGTCAGGACCTTCTTTTTAAATCTTTTCACCGAGCCCACCGACGGAGTAGACGTTTCAAGCATTGGCGACACCTTCCCACGCATTGGCCAGACGACTTGGAGGGTGTTTAATAGAGAAGTTTCAAAGGAGGAAGTTTACACAGCAGTTTTCGACATGAAACCTTTCAAGGCTCCGGGCCCGGACGGCCTACCAGCGGGTTTTTATCAACATACGTGGGAAGTTACTGGGGACAGTATCTTCAAGCTAGTCAGGGACGCCCTTAGTACTGGCAGGCTCTCGGAAGGAGTGAACGACACCCTAGTTGCGCTAATACCAAAAGTGCAGGTCCCTGAGACGGTCAAGCAGTTCAGGCCTATCAGTCTTTGTAACGTGAGCTACAAGATTCTAACAAGACAATTACAAATAGGTTGAAGAGGATTCTACCCCAAGTCGTAGGGCCATACCAAAGCTCCTTTGTACCAGCGCGCCAAATCTCGGACAATGTGATTGTGTACCAGGAAGTAATTCATACCATGCGTGAGGCCCGGGGGAAAAAAGGTCTATATGGCTATTAAATTAGACCTAGAGAAGGCCTATGTCCGCCTGTCTTGGGCGTTTATTAAGGACACTCTGAAACGGGTAGGCTTTAATGATATTTGGATTAATGTTATAATGACTTGCATTTCTTCGTCCAGGTTGGCAATAATTTGGAACGGAGACCGATTGGAACAGTTCACACCAACGAGGGGTATTCGTCAAAGCGACGCAATGTCCCCGATTATCTTTGTTTTGTGTATGGAACGGCTCAGCCACCTAATTGCGTCAAAGGTGAATAATAAGGTTTGGAAAGGTATCAAATTGGCCCCATCTGGGCCCATTTTATCTCACCTCTGTTTTGCAGATGACATGGTCCTTTTTACCGAGGCGACATACGAGCAAGTGGAAGTGGTCCAGGAATGTTTAAAGTCCTTTTGTGAAGCTTCGGGGCAGAAAGTTAGTCTTACTAAATCACAAGTATTTTTTTCGAAAAATACTCCTCTCTGAGTTGCACAAGAAATAGCCGCAAAGTTGGGTATCGCAGAAACGAAAGACCTGGGGAGATATCTTGGTGTGCCTTCTTTGCATGGCCGGGTAACATGCAATACTTATGCGGGCCTTTTAGATCGGATTTCTGCCAGACTGGAAGGATGGAAAGCAAAGACTCTCTCGCTAGCCGGGCGTGTCACTTTGGCAAAATCAGTACTGAAGGCCATCCCGATTTACACTATGCAAACGGCAGCTCTCCCTAAGGGTGTCTGTTCGGAGATTGAGAAAAGGACCAGGCGCTTCATATGGGGCCGCGATGAACAATCCGGGAGCAACAAGATGATTCTGGTGGCCTGGGACACAATCACTACGGATAAAACATGTGGAGGTTTGGGCTTGAGGAAATTGCAGACCATGAATGAGGCTTGTATGATGAAACTTTGCTGGAGGCTAAAAACGGAACCTAATGCGCTCTGGGAAAAAACGCTTATTACGAAATATCACCATAGTTCTGGCTCACACCTGGACACCACACGTAGAAGAAATACTTCCAACGCCTGGAAAGGTATAAGCGCGGCTAGAGAAACCTTAGAGAGTGGGCTCACGCATGTTGTTCGCAATGGAAAATCGACTCGTTTTTGGATGGACCCCTGTCTTACACCAAAACCTCTATATGAAAAGTTATGTGGCACCCTGAGCCTCCCAGATCTTTACGCGAACGTGGAAGATTACTGGGACAAGGTAAGAGGCTGGAAATGGGAGAAGTTACAGAGATCTCTTCCCACTGAAGAAATGGAGCGCCTCGCCGGTTTCTGCCTAGCGGATGAGAACATTCCAGACGGGTGGGGCTGGAGTCCAGATCCTCGGGGGTATTTCTCGATTAAATCAGCATATGGGTGGGCGGATACTTCTGTAAGACAGGAAGTTGACAAAGTTTGGGGTCTTATTTGGGCGTTAAGAGTTCCGGCAAGAATCTGGATGTTTATCTGACTGGTTAAGCATGGGAGAATCTTAACAAATTTTGAACGCACTAGGAGACACATCACTTCTAATGAATGTTGTTATATTTGTGCAGGACAGCGAGAAGACTTGGATCACCTATTTCGACGCTGTGACGCCGCGAACCGTATTTGGAAACAGTCTCTACAGCGACGAACGGAGGAGGCATGCGCAACCTCGACTGAGAAAGCTGGCTTACGATGAACCTGCAGGGGGATTGTAAGCAAGGCTTTGGGGACGGATGGCCAGAGCGGTTTGGAGTCAGACTTTGGTGGCTGTGGAAATGGTGAAACGAGGCGGTTTTTAATGGCACCTTTTTGCCATTCGACCAGAAAATGGACTGGCTACGGAGATGCGATGGTGAGATAGCCGCGACTTTTGAAGGGAGAAGCTGGCCGATGCTGAGGCACAATCGGGGAGACGAAGCCATTTTGACGTGGGTGAAACCAGACGAGGGATGGTTAAAATTAAATACGGATGGCAGTTGCAAGAGTGACGGCCAGGCAAGCTGCGGAGGTGTCCTTCGAGATAATCACGGTAACTGGTGTAGAGGCTTCATCTACAAAATTGGTAGATGTTCGAGTGCAATGGCGGAAGCGTGGGGCATCCTACAAGGCTTGCGCATGGCTAAGGACTACGGTGTGCGACGAATAATCCTAGAATGCGACTCAAAGTTGTTAGTGGAGGAGCTAAGGGCGGGTGATGACGGGCAGATTCAACACAATAATATTGTTCGTCGGTGTGTTAAAGAAACGAAGAGGTTCACAGAAGTGAAAATTATGCATATTTACAGAGAACAGAATCAACTCGCTGACAAGTTGGCGAAGTGGGCTACGATGCATCAGTTTGGCTATCACTTACTCGATTTTCCGCCGAGGGAGATTGAGGAGTTGGTTGCCCTTGACAGGATGGGAGCTTCGTCGATCAGACGAATCTCACAACAACGATCTGTTACTGTTATCTAGTTTCTTAGATGGGTATCCCCCTCTTCACTGATCAAAAAAAAAAAAAAAAAACACATATGCATTTCTTTAATTTAGAATTATGTGTCTACAATGTCTTTATTTAAAACAAATTTATTCATTATCAATAAATTAAATAAGAGAAATAATTTCATTAGTTATATTGTCTTTATTTTTCTCCAATATAAAAATTCTTTACATTCAAATTCATCAATTGATTATATTCGCTACGTTGTCCCTACAATGTCTTTATTAAAAAAAATATTCATTATCAATAAATTAATTAAGAGAAATAATGTTATTAGTTATATTGTCTTTATATTTCTCCAATGTAAAAATTCTTTACATTCAAATTCATTAATTGATTATATTCACTAAATTGTCTATTATCTTTTTTGTGCACTATTTTTTTAATTATATATCAAAGTTATAATACAAAATAATGTTATATATTTATTTACCAAGTATTTTATTATTACCATGAAAAAATTAAAAATATATATAATTAATAAAGTCAATCATATTAACTACTTGAGGAATTTGTTGACAAAGAGAGTATTCAAATCACACAACAAATTGAAGTGAGAACTACCTCGCAATGTCCTTGTTTGACAATCAGCAGTTAGCGAATTATATTAGCGGATTTGACCAGCGAATTATATCAACGGTTGGTAAAAAGATATTTGAAAAAATTAGCTGTTTAGATTAACATGTAAAATGACCTAAGGTAATACATATATTTAATTATAATAATAATAATAATAATAATAATAATAATAATAATAATAATAATAATAATTATTATTATTATTATTATTATTATTATTATTATTATTATTATTATTATTATATTAATTGTTTAAAAAAATAAAAAAAATATAATTAATCCAATCATATTAACTACTTGGGGGATTTATTAACAAAAAGAGTATTCAAATGACACAACAAATTGAAGTGGGAAACTAACTCGCAATATCCTTGTTTGGCAATCTGTTAGCTCTTAAATATTAGTATATATTTAATATTTTATGCCCTAATTTTTATTTTCTCTCCCTTATGTCCCGTATTTGGTTTCAACTATACCTATACAATTATTTTATTGACAATTATAATCAATCTTGACTATATCATCTTGCATTTGTAAACTTAGAATTACCTATTTAAATACACAAATTCAACATTTAATTATCTATGCATAAACAATTCCAATATAATCTTACCTTGATATACTTTAAAGTACATATTTAAAAAAAAATTAAAAAACATTGGGCATTATCCCAATCGCGCAATGCGCGTAAAAAACTAGTTTATATTATATACCTTAATTTTCCTTCTTTGTTGTCCACCTTGGGTTGCAACTTGCAACCTCCTACTTTTGCTGCCAAATGGTAGCTTTTGTATTTTTTTTTTTAAAGAAGAATTTAATGCATTAAATCATCAGACAAACAGTGAACAAGAAAAAAGGGTGGAATGTCAATTCATTCCTGACAACCTGACATAGAAACGGCTTCCCGAGCAACAGTGTGGGCAGCACGATTCGCAGATCGCTTAAGAACATCTGGGATAGTAACGTGCCTTGTAGACACGCGTCACCAAAGACGCAGGCCTCGTGATTAGCCGCCAAGCTTGTTTGCCCAAAAAATCCAAATTTGTGACACCCGTATTTTCCTAAAATAAATTATAGTCCCGATATTAAATATTTTTATTAGATGTGAATCATGTGATACCCCGTATTTTCCTAAAATAAATTATAGTCCCGATATTAAATATTTTTATTAAAAATATTTATATATCTATTTTGTAAAATGGGCTCGGATCTATTTAGTATTGTGAACCTGTATCTTTGTACCCCAAATACTCTGAGCCCAAAATGGTTTTAAATCCTAAAAGCCTAGTAATCATCTTTAAGCCCAAAATGTATGTAATGGGTATATGTATATGTAACCCAAAAACTGAATGCCTTGTCCAATTCCTAATCCTAAGCCCAATATATGTATACTGGCAAATTATGTTGTGCATCCGTATGCACCATGCATGGTGCATACGAATGCAAAAACGACGTCGTTTTATTAAAAAGGTGCGTCTCACTTTAAAAAAAAAAAAATCAATTTCGATTCCCAACAACAACATTATATTGTGCAAATATTTCCTGACAGTATCTCCTTCACAAACACCTAGAACCTCCACCACGTCATTTCTTGTTTGGTGCGGCACATTAGAAAATGAATTCATTTATTTTAGTATTATTTATATAAGGAAAAATATATTAATTTATTATTGTAATTTGAAAGTGAGATAATATATTATTGCAAAGATGTAGATAAAACAACAAAAGAATTGTAAATTTAATGATGTGGAGGTAGAATCCACTTTTAAAAGTGAGAAAGAATTTCAGGGAATCTATATCTATATCTATATCTATATCTATATATATATATATATATATATATATATATATATATATATATATATATATATATATATATATAAAAGTAAAATCCTCCTAACAAATTTTTCCCCCAAAACTTTTGTAGTAAAACTTATTTGGTATGTAAACGTCAAATGGAAATTAAATAAATAATAATAATAATAATAATAATAATAATAATAATATAATAATAATAATAATAATAATAATAATAATAATAATAATAATAATAATAATAATAATAATGATGATGTTATTACCTTAAATAAATAAATTATTATACTTTCCTTTTGAATTAGTATTTTCTACCTATAAATACAAGGGCTTCTTCAATCAAAGAATCTCAAACTCATCTCTCTGCTTTCTTTTTGTATGAATTTTCTACATTTTTAACTATATTCTCACGTACTTCAATATGTTTTGCAGTTTATATCGTCTGGTATGAGTTTGAAGATACTTAAGGAGGCTCTGCTTCAACAAAAGGAAATTGAGGAGGAAGAGCATTTGTAACAGAACCCTATTGGTTTAGTTTTTATGGAAGATTGTAGAGATGCGATCGAGGATGATAAAGACTGTAATTTTGATAATTTTATCAGATTTTCTGAAACATAGAGTTAGTATGTTGATTTCGAGATTTGTACATGCCATTCAAGTTTCTATGTTTTTTTTTTTTTTAACAAGCATAGTTCATTTTACAGTATTTTTATAATTTATATATATATATATATATATATATATATATATATATATATATATATATATATATATATATATATATATATATATCACAACTTGAGTAGAGTGTTTGTTTAACCTATTAAAAATCTCGCTATATTTGTTTTTTTTTCTAAATTTTTGTAAAACACAAAACTAATGATTATTTAAAAAGAAGAAATAAATAACAAATACAATTTCAGATTCAGATTTTGTGTTACTCCATTCACATATTAGTATAAATTCTTTAAAAAAGTAATAAAATAAAATACAAAGGAAATATAAAATTTTAACCAAAAATTTAATTAGAGAAACCTCCCAAAAAATCCACGTTGTACTGAACCCAAATAAAAAAATACTGACAATGGCACAATCATAAGGATCAAAGGGAACAATGGAAGACCCAAAAATCCAGACATCATTGATGTATCGAACGGTGATGAGAGACTCAGAAATAGGAATATCATTATGAATGAAAACGAAGATTTTCTTGACACCCGAATTTAGTTTAAGGAGAAGTTTACTATTGAGTACAAATGTTTCCTCAATGGATTTTGTATGTTCATATAGAGTGTATTTATACACCATGGATGAGTTCAAAATGGCACAATATTGAAATTATAAAATGGTAAGAGATCTCAAAAAAAGGTAAAACTTTCAAATTTTCAGTTAATACAAAAAATGTTATAATCGCCGAAAAAATATATCTTTAACTTTAGACAAAAATTAAAAATAAAATCATAAACAATTTTAATAATTGACTATTTCATTTCTATGTTTCTTGAAAAATGATGGGCATGAACAAGCTGACTCATCGTGAAATATAGTAATTAATGAATTACCATTAAAATTAGTATAGTAATGAAACAATTATCATTTGTATGTTGACATTTTTCCCCGTTTATTACCATTCAAATGTTTGATACCAAAAATTATACTATATAAACACAAAATATGCATATATGGTAAATATGCAATTTATATATATATGCCCCTAAGTTTTGGAGATAAACTTGGTTAGGAGGATTTTACTTTTAATTATATATAGAATATAGATATAGATTATTCTCATAATTTTTCTTTCCTTCTTTTGTGTTATTATTATGGTAATTTTATGGT